CTTTTCCACCTTCACCTCTTATTCAGTCTCAATTGATGCAATTTACTTGTGGCCTCCACACGGGCAGTTGTCTTTTCCGCCAATGTAAAACGTCTCCACTCGGTTTGATGGTGGGAAGATTACAACTTCCACCATGAAATATCCAGTCTACTTGTTCCGAACATCATCTACTATTGCCCTCAAGTACTGCGCCAAACCAATTGAACTGCCGAGCTTGAAAATCGAATGCTCCAATGAACGACTGATCCTGACAACTCATTAATTAGCAAATACGCTTGTGGTAGAGTCATTAACTGTCTCACAGGTGACTGGCACAAACTCATTCCGATGCATTCGTTGATAGAAAATCACTTCCCCTTGGGTGTAGTTGTGCCATAATGTTTCCACTTCACAGGAATCTCTAAAATAGTGATGAATTTTGCCATTCAACCAGTGAGTTATTCTCCTAGTAAATTACTATTTGTTACTGAGGTAGAATGCATCCACTTCAACGCAACCTCAAGAATGAATGGTTAAGCGTCCAAATCACCGAAGAATTCAGATCTACCAAAGTGAGCGAAGTCACCAATTCACGCGAACACTGTGCTCGCAAAAATCGATATTCCCATCCTTCACACCATATATCAAATTACTGACTTATTGGAGTTAAATATGCATATATCTCAACGTGATGTGGTATTAAATAAAATTTATCAAAACTTACTTTGTTGAACGGTGGGCAATCGAAGTTGAGTCAGCAGCTAGTGGTGTCGGAAGTACACTTGACACATCGTATGGATGCACCTGAAATATGAATTTTCCCAGTTCATCCGCCTCAGTAAAGCGATCATGATCCAGTGCCTTAATTCTAATTTTTAACTACAAATGAAAAATAGGCATACATAAATGTGTAATTAATTCAATGTGAGGCTACACTTAAAATTTAATTTGAAAAAATTTCGTACCAGTTTGTTTTCGAAATATGATACTTTAAACTTATAACTGATAGCGGCTGTGTTTCGAACTGGGCTGGTTTTTTCGGAGTGAAGATTACAGGACGAATCCCGCCTAGAATTAAATCAATAGTCAATAGTCAACATTAATAGAAATTTTGTCAAAGTCATTTCAATTTTTTCCTTAACCGAAGTACAATAATTCAGTTACCGTTAATTCTTAGTTTCTCATCATATTTCCGTGTATTCTAAGCTAACAGCAGTGTTATTTGTTCATTGGTACAAATTTCCCATTTAAAGTGAACAAGTAGGTAAATTGAAGAATTAAAACAAAATTAAAGTAAACATTAAAACGAATTGATCAACTTACAGCACACCGTCCTCATCAGTTACGCATATCTCGAAGTAAATGTCACAAAGTGGATTGAACGGCCAAGCATCACAACTTTTTCCATTTGTTAGAACTCCTTCTTTATTTTCATAAAATAGCTCAACGTCCAAAGTTCCAATTTTCTGAAAATGGTAAAATAAAAGGTGCATTAGAGTGGTCACTAAGCTCAAATACATGTAAATATGTTATCAAAACGGTATATTCAGTTTCTAATGATCAGTCTTTCGCTTCCAGCAATGGCACTAGTCCAGATATCTTGATTGACCTCAAGTGGAAATGGATCAGTAACTTATTTCTTCAAACTACCAAAAGGATTATTGGGAGTCAATTTCTGCTGTTCTTTCTTGTTGAGACGAACAAAGTGAATGATTTTCTTAGTAGATGTCAATCTACCAATCCCAAAATTACAACAATTAATTTCTGCAAACAATGATAAAAATAATAAAATAATTACAATAAAGTTTATTTACAAATATAAATAACATATATTGTTAAATTTCGATAGGTGGTAAGCGGTCGTAGAATAGGAAGTGGTCTAATAACTTCGCTGGAAATTGAGTCAAAGTTGTGCGCAAAACTGAACAAAACTCACAGAACTGTGCGAACTTTGATCTTCCAAGTGCTTTTGTGTTATGCACGATCATATCAATGTTGATTAAGAAACTGTCAATTAGTTATGAACTCGACGCCAATTAAGTACTCCAACTCAGGAGTCAAATTCAAATCCTCTAACTCCGATACATAAACAAACAAAAAGTTTAATATTTTACAACCCAAGCCCAAAATTTCAATTGAATTTAGACACTTCTCTACCCAGAAATTGATCTCCGAAACTGCTTGATCCAATACCTATTATCGAAAAGTGGATTGCATGTTAGTCAAATTCAGATGTATCCAGTTATCCAAAAATTACGCCCGCTCATTAATACAAGCCAAAGTAGCCAAAACGATAAAAATAATGAAAAGAAATAATAATAATAATAATTCAAAATGTTGAAGATAATCGATAGGTGGAAAACAGTGCGGTCTTATAACTAGGTTAAAATAGAGTCAAAGTTGTGCGAGGATTAAGATGACACGTCAATGCTGCTAGAAATGAAATTTGTACTGGATATTAAAATTTAAGCAAATGATTCGATAGGCACCAAAGAATGGAGTTGGTGGTACTCAGACTTACAATTTTGTACCAAAATTGTGCAGATGGTCTTCCCATGGCGATTAACAACCATATAAATCCCCAATTCATTTGAAATTATCCTCTGATGTAATCCGAAGTGATCTACAAGTAAGTATTTGGCCCACGGTTAATCTATCACTTTGTCCTTGTTTCTCTCGTGGCACGGACAGACTTTGTTGACTCTGTTATATCCTTCCTCTGATTGGCTAAATTAGCACTGTGAGGTTGTTGTTTATGTGAACCAAAGGGTCTGCGCTCTCATGCGAAAGTTCTCATATAAACTAGTAAAGTTGAAGTTGAAGTATAAGTTGGAGTTGCGTAGTGAATAAGAAAGGAGGCAATCTGATTGGTGATTGGTGAGTGCAAAGAGTGTAAGTGGTCAAGAGAATATATTTGAAAGTACCTACATTGTCCTCTCACGATACTTACACTACACTCGTAAAATTGCTCATTTTTGGGAACTGGGTCCATTTTCGAATCAAAATTCGAATTGAAACACAGTTACAAATTAAACCTTAAACACACTGTCATAAAATTGGAAATACATGAATGTGAATGTATGGAGTTCTTAAGCAAAGCAGAAACGAAGTGAGAGGTGAATTAGTGACGCCAGTGAATCATGTGTTTTTAGCCACGGAGTTCTATGCCTCATCGTCATGTGGGATGTCATCAGGACAACTCGAAAATAAACCTTCATGAATGTGGCCTGGGTTGAATATGTGACAAAGTGTTGACACATGTGAAGGAAGTGGGATGCGTATGAATACACTTGTCACATTTGAACAAACAGCTAAATATTATCCTACTTGGAGTATCCTCGATAACAGAAATTCACTTTGAAATTTCGACAGGTAGTGACTGAGACCTTTCCAGAACCATACTCGACATGGAAAAGACACAATCTGAAGTAGTTTAGTAATTTAACCACGTTTTCCAGCGTATTTAATGCAACACAGCGTTGTGTGCTACTCAACAGGGAGCTCCATGATTTCACCGCCCCTCCCCTCTTCCGCCTCCAACCTCTTCCCCCCCC